ATTGTGTCCTCCCTCGAGTAATTTTTAGACAAGTTTCAACAATTTCCAAGTAATTTTTAGACATATATTTGGTGTACTATAGCGAGCTTCATGCATGAATGCAGGCCTATGACTGAGCTAGATTCGACTTATGATACCAAGCGTAAGCTATAACACAGAACCACAACAAAATTGAAAGGGCCGGGAGGGAGGGCTCAGGAGAAGTACAAGAAGAACTGGAGGATCGGGTGTATTCATATCCATACATCACTTAAAACAAACCAGCCAGATCCGGTTCTTCCGTTCCAGGTAACAAGTTGAGTGGCCTGTGCTTTATATACTTTTTGACATTTACACAATAATGTTTCTTTTAACATGTAATTCTAGAGAGATTCTTTCTCCAGCAGGTGTGAACTGCATCTTTTTTTCCTGCAACGCTCTCATGGGTTTCGATCTGGTTGGCACATGTACATGTCATCCATCGTATTCCAGTCCAAAACCTGTTAACCAAGTTGGCATACAAGTAGTAGGAATGATAAATGGGGGACATGTACACATGAGGCTGGTCATAGTGGGAGTAACATAGGTAGTAACATAGATGCCACATAAGCAAAAATGATGATGTGGCAAGTAGTTAATGAGGAGAGAGGCAAATAGAGTAACATAATATGTTACCATCACATAGCGGTTTCCAATGCATAATGAGTCTACAAAGTAATAAATGAAGGCAACTATGTTACTACACCTATGACACTACCCACTATGAAGGTAGTAACATAGACTAGTAACATATGTATGTTACTAGTCTAAGTTACTCCCCACTATGACCAGCCTGACAGATGAGTTTACTTCATTTCAAATAGGGACCTCGTTTCAATGAATTTCTTTACTAGGTCCTTCCATATTCTATGTGTGCAAGTTGATTGCATCCATCGGGAGTCGGGGTTTTTAATGAGGCTTTAAGGTAAGACATCGGAAGTTGGGTTGCATCAAGTGTGCACATGTGTACTATGTACTCCTATTATTTCTAACGGCAACTTGATTATGGACTGGAATATGGTGGATGTGACCTACGCTACGTACCAGTTAGGGAAAAAAAAAGGCTCCATCTGAAACCTAAGAGAGCGTTGAAGATGAGACATGTTTGTGATAGATACTGACAAACCTTGAATTAACTTCAATGGAAGGGGCCATCTGAAAGTTAAGCTGCAGATTTTGAGCTCCACTGGGAATGTGTTCACTAGAATTTAGAACCAATAATACGCCGCTTGGCTGTGTAATTAAGTTTGCTCCTACCTATTCAATACAACAAGGTACAAAGCTTTTGCGTTTTCGAGAGAGAAAAAAGGTACGCGCGCACCCGTACCGAGGATTGTTTTTGGCAAAGGGTTAAGTTTGAACAATGGCAAGTTATAGTGGCTAGTATTAAACACATGCTACTGGATCATGCGAGCACACTGTCAGAATGCCTTCTTTTCTTGTTTCTGCTACTGCTGCATTGCTTCTTTGACTGCTCCATCGATGGCCCGGTTCAGTGCGAGAAAAGGCACAACCAAAATGCCTACCAAGAAACAGAACTGAGACATTAATATCTCAAAATGTTAAGGAGACAGGAAAAGGAAAGTTCAAAGATTGAAACAGTCAAAGATAACCATACCTCAGAAGGATCTTCATTAGGTTTGTCATTTCGGAATTAAGATACAAACAGAAAGAACAACTTCACTCCCACTTAGTCAATCACATCTTCAGAAGACGAACTTCAATAATCTGCATCCAAGAGGGCAACTAAATTAAAATATTTTGAGTAACAAACATTCAGGCTGGTGATACAGTTATAAACGTGTTGTCTAAAATTTAGTGGAACTGAAGGAGCAGTACATTTTTTTCTTTTTTTTTTCTTTTGAGGACAGAAAAGTAGAAATACCTTCGCTGGACCCCTCAAGTAATAGAAGGGAGCACTGCCCTTGCATACACATGGGCCATGGCTCCAAATTTCTAAGTCACGTTCATTTGCTTTCAGATACCGTTTTCAGAGAAGCTAACTTTATTCCTCACAATATGGAAGTGATTTATCTTCCAGGTTTGCAGGTGGATTCGTACATGGCTTCTCTTGAATGAACCTTCATCAGATTTGCCACTTCAAACATAGATAAGAAGAACATCTTCAGTCTGGCTCAGTCCAAGCGATTCAAGTAAAAACTCGACAAGACAATCCATGATCCGCCTATAGCGACCAATGACCTATCTACAGTTCTGCACTGCACTACACAAAAGACATCCATCTGTGATCATCCTTTTGTGGTCGTATTCTTGGGAGGCATACCTCACTAGCAGCATAGTACTACGGCAGCGAGTTTATTATGCATATGACTGCAGTACCTGATAGCTCGCCTAACATGACAGACTTTATGAGGATAAACAGCAATAATTAACTATTTTTAGTGTAGGCCTCAAGTATGACATAAAAAGGGGATCATATACTGAATCCATCAAAGCAGCAAGAACAATCTCTCCAGGAAATATGCTGAAAAC